CCCCCCCCCCCACCCGGCAGTATGCCACTGGTACCCATTTATACACCTGGGTGAAGAGAGACAAAGTGGAGTAGAGTTCCTTGTCTAAGGAAACAAGGCGACAGGTGAGGCTTGAACCCCAGACTTCCAGATCCAGAGTTTGAGGTGTTAACCACTCTGCCACACAGCCTCCATCTCACAACAATCAAAAGGCAGGGTTTAATCACAAATTAATTTATCAATTATTTCACTAACCTAAACGTCTCAAGTTGAAGAGAGATTTGTTCATCTGTTCTATGATAGCTTTTTGTTACTTTTGGTTTGCTTATTTTTTTGGGTAATGATGCTGTTTTTTTCTTGACAGCATTTGATGGTCCTGGTACAGATAAAGCCTGCCAAGCTATAACAGAAAAAAAGACAAACAAACAATAAAAAACAGAACTATCAATAATAAGTATTATTTTTTGACACCTGACCTTCTTTTTGTTACATAAGGTAATTCCTCTCTGTGTTGTATGCAATGGACACAAGAGCCATAGAAATGGTCTAAACAATAACTGTACGGATAGTGATGTACATGTAAATGAGCAAAAACAACAGATTTAAATTGTAATTTATAAAATATTTCTTGACTCCACATTATAGCAATTAAATGATAATGCATGTAGTTGGAGCAGGGTCAGACCAAAAAGAAAAAAAAAAGAGATTTTAATTATTTTAAGCACTGACAATAATGGATAATAATATTATCATTTCTTAAAATAAGCGGAAATACCTCTGGGGGCTGGATATGGTATCTGCCTATCTTTATAGAACTTGCGTTCTCTGCGCCTTTCCTCTAAAATCAAAGAAACAGGATGCACTAATCAACAAGGTTATATAAATACATGTAGCTGGGTTTACTTAAATTCTGGGTTCAGTCCAGGCTTCTGTAGGGACTAGCTGGAGAAACATGAAACAGCCTCAGTGGTTCCATTAATAGGAGGGAGGGGAGGGGTGGGGGTCACTTATGAGAATGAGAATCAAAGCACAAGGGACTCTTCTGGGAGCATGTGTGGTGACTCATCTACTAATTTCATTTGAAGAATTACCAATGGCTGCATAAAACTTCTACAGCAAATACACAAATGTACCAAAGGGACATTGACATAAGAAAGTCCTTCTGTGTAGTGCTTGTAGAGTAAAAATAGAGATCTGACAGCATGGCAATTGGCGGTCAAGTACATGAGGCTAAAACAACCCCAAACTTGTTCACTTTCCCTTATGTGAGGTTCCAGCTATTACCGGTATAGGGCTTTGATGGGCAAAGTGTTTGTTGTTTAATTGGGTGCATGGTCATTTAATATGGGAGGTGATTGCTTATGAGACATGGTCGCACATGGGGTTTAACAGTTAGTAGTAATTTCTTAAGCCATTTTTTCAATGGCCAGATGAACAACAGCCCAAAGCACCAGGGATGTTGCTTTAGTCAATCAGTCCAGTACATTATTTATGAGCCCCGCCCCCGCCTTTTCAATACCTGTAGTATACACACCAATAAAACCTTGCACATTTCACATTCTCTAAAGTATTTCTTTTTCTGGAATCAGAAGTCATCATTTTAAAAAAGATTTTTTTTTATTGGCCTTCCTTCTCTTTATTATTCTTAACTATTCCAGGTAATACCGGTATTTTAGATTTGGCTGATTATTTAACCTTCACCCCTGGATATTGCTTACCAGAAAAATCACAAAAAATCAATTTTATTTCCGTTAAAATCCAAAGAAAAAAATAACAAAGTAAAACAACAGAATTGTGTCCACAGATTTTGAAATTAAGGTGACAAATAACATTGACCAAACTTGGGGTAAAAGTGGAAGGTTCAATTAATTGTATCATCTAATCAGACACTTACAGAAACTAATAGGATAGTCAGTGTCTTATGATCACTTCATGTGAGATATTTCAGGCAATGTCTTGAATCAGTTTTGAAAAAGATTAATATAAACCATTTTACTCTTAATGCTAGCTCACCCCTTTCAATCCTTGGAAGGAGCTTGTAAACAATATCTTGCATAGTTCTGTCAAGTCTGTGAAGAGAATGTGATTCACATCATTTCTAGTATAATATAACCACAACCATAGGAGAAACATATGAATAAAGAATTTAAAGTCCAGAATACCCAGCACATATGTTTTTTCCAAAACCGAAACGTGAGATTGCGGGATCCCACCTGGTGGGATCTGCTAAGATCATCAACAGGGACATGAGGCACACCAGTTTTGATTGTACCTGACAAAGCCAAAACCTTTACAGCTACTGGTAAAGCTCTCAACTCAGACACTTTGCAATCATCGCAAAACCGCAAGTGATCAGGAGACAATGATTTTTGTGTCCGGTCGTACTAATAACCGCAGCAGGTCTCCCAGGTGAGCAGCCTCTGGTCGATAGAACAATGTAGACTAGTCTCAAGATCATGGTCTCCCTGATTGCCTGGGGGAATATTTATCAATATTAATACTGGAGAAGGGTTTCACTACAGTCATAAAAAATAAGAATTGCTCCAGACTGAGACTTTGACCTAAGCGTCTTAGCACTCATGGTACAGCATAAAAAACAACAAAATTTGTGATAAAACCTCGAAAAAACTATTGTGCTCTGAAATTTCCATCAGCAAAGGCGGACAGCAAAAAAGCAACTGACAAACAACAACGAGCACATGACTCAAAACAACCCCTTGGGCCCAGGTCTCAGCGGTGTGCGAGAAAACATTTTCCACCTATTTTGTTCCTCAGCCAGTGGAAAATACAACTTACTTAAAATTAATATTCATTTTTACCTGATATTATAAAGTGGTTGTGTCTCATGAATAACAGTGTTGCATGTTGGACATCGATTAACAAGTTCAATATGTCTCACAAGGCAGCTCTTACAAACTAACAATAATAAAATGTAAGACAAAATATTTAAGAATAGATCAAAACATGTTATTGATCTCAGTACTGGTTTGGACTGTACTGAGGAATATTGGCACAGAATAATAAAGGTATCCATGATAACAATATTCATAATTTTTTGAAAAAATGTTACTCTGCAGAGACTTTGGGGACTTAAATTTACAGAGACATGTACTTTTGCAGAAAGCTTGTTATTTCTGAAATGCATTAGCATTTTCGTTTTTCAAAAGAAATTAGCTGTATGATCTACAACCATTAAGCTTTCAGAAATAGTACAGTGTGTAGGGCTAGAAGCGCTTAAGAGCAATCTGTATGAAGACGGTTCTGAAGGTAGGATGATACCTTTAATAATACAATGTATTCACTACAAAGTGTCCCAACCCCCTTGATTCAAGAGTTAATTGCACCCAACACTGCTCTGATGAATATTTTTAATTATTGCTTTGGACAAAATATTATGATAATAATGACATGATTTGGGGGTCGAAAAAAGTCCTATCCAGTAGTTCCGGACAAGTAGGATTTCTTGCTGGTCCATGCAAGTCATCCTCTAACAAAATGGAGATGAGCAAGAAGTGAAAGCTGCTTGGACCCGCTGGAATTTAAGCTCTTACNCTAATACAATGTATTCACTACAAAGTGCCCCAAACCCCTTGATTCAAGAGTTAATTGCCCAACACTGCTCTGATGAATATTTTTAATTATTGCTTTGGACAAAATATTTATGATAATAATGACATGATTTGGGGCTCGAAAAAAGTCCTATCCAGTAGTTCCGGACAAGTAGGATTTCTTGCTGGTCCATGCAAGTCATCCTCTAACAAAATGGAGATGAGCAAGAAGTGAAAGCTGCTTGGACCCGCTGGAATTTAAGCTCTTACAGATGGTTGATTTATAGGGAAACAGACCTCAAAATACATTTCTGTGTACTGCATGTATCTTTTGTTACCTTTTAATCTGTTCTTATCATTTTTGAACCACGCAAAGAAAAAGGAAGAAAGAAATCAGTGTTATTCACAAGAAAAAGAAGATTTATATTACATCACCCCTAAATACAAGTAAGTGCCACCCTCAACTTTAGCGCCCACTGATAATTCAAAGTTGCAGCCATGAGATGGACTCCAAATGAGAGAAGGAAAAGAGACACCAGCCGATTAAATCCACCTGGTGGAGAACAGTGATGATCAGGAATGAGCTGGAGGAGACATGGAGCAAAGCACAGGCCAAAGCTCAGGATGACAGGCTTAAAAGTCCCAAGGTGTTATTGTGCCCTTTTGTCCCAGCTGGGATGAGGAGGTTGAGTGAGTGAGTGAGTGAGTGCTTTGCCACTTTTGAGAAACTGTGAAGTCCTAGTTTATGTTCACAGAATCTACAGCTACTATCTCTAGCCAATATTCCCTAGTCTACCCCTCATACTAGGTCAATAGGAAAGTCATGTAAATTCGTGGACTTACAAGTGTGCAGACATTCTGTTATGGTTGCTGCATCAACAAGATACCCATTGCACAATTTGCAGGTTATGTGTTGATTGAGGTTTACCAATGGTAACTTGACACGTTTCTGCAAAAAACAATGATTTTCATTTTAAACAAATAAGCCAACAGCACCTATCAGCACCATACAGCACCTTACAATAAAATAATTAACAATTAATTTATTTAAACAAAGGCTTGAAACGTCATATTGGCAAATGTCTTATGTCTACCATGTCGAGTTTCCTCACATTTTCAAAGAATTAGAGGTGAAGACTGTTCAGTTCCTCGGCGGGGATTGTATGTTTATTCTTTCACAGATTTTCCCCATCACCATCTGTATCACACAACGTCAGGACTGTTTTCATTTTCTCTGTTGTATCTTTAGCATAAAGTTCGTACACTCTCTCTATTTTTAATAAATGTCGACGACAAAATGGCGGTAGACAATATAACTGTGAATGAGAGGGTATAGTGATCATGTTATTTTTCTAGCAGACTAAGCATATTTTATCCCTTAAGCTTTAAACGTGGTACACGCTCAACATACTGTAAAATTCCGAAAATAAGCCCTGGGGCTTACATTTTTCAAAGGCCCTTTTTGAGGGGCTTATTTCTGGAGGGGCTTATATTCGGAGGGGCTTATCTACGGAGGGATATTTGCGTTTAAAAATCGATTAAGCTAGCCTTAGAGTTGGAAGGAAATTTATCGTTTTTGCTTTGTTTTACTTTGTATTTGAGGGCAATTTTCTAAGTATAAGCCGCCGGGGGGCTTATATTTGGTGGGGCGATTTAACGGAGGGTTCTTTGCGTTACGAGTTTGGGGGGCTTATATTTGGAGGGGCTTATACATGGAGGTGCTTATTTTCGGAATTTTGCGGTATTTACACCCATACTTTGACAACAAGGATCACATTTCCGATCGTACTGACCATGCATCGGCTTTAGAACTAACAGGTCACGTTTAAGTAGTGTCACTCTAAATCAACTTAATTCTGATTAACTACATTAGCGCAACTGAATATGAACAAAGGCAGTAAATGGCGCAGTATATGAATACTTGAGGGTAATTTTCCTACCTGCATGGCCTGCATCTCGAACAAACAACATGGGCACACTGCTATGAGAGTCAATCACCAACAGGCGTTTAAATGTACTTCAACCTCGTTTCTATGCTGAGTCTCGATNTTAAAAATCGATTAAGCTAGCCTTAGAGTTGGAAGGAAATTTATCGTTTTTGCTTTGTTTTACTTTGTATTTGAGGGCAATTTTCTAAGTATAAGCCGCCGGGGGGCTTATATTTGGTGGGGCGATTTAACGGAGGGTTCTTTGCGTTACGAGTTTGGGGGGCTTATATTTGGAGGGGCTTATACATGGAGGTGCTTATTTTCGGAATTTTGCGGTATTTACACCCATACTTTGACAACAAGGATCACATTTCCGATCGTACTGACCATGCATCGGCTTTAGAACTAACAGGTCACGTTTAAGTAGTGTCACTCTAAATCAACTTAATTCTGATTAACTACATTAGCGCAACTGAATATGAACAAAGGCAGTAAATGGCGCAGTATATGAATACTTGAGGGTAATTTTCCTACCTGCATGGCCTGCATCTCGAACAAACAACATGGGCACACTGCTATGAGAGTCAATCACCAACAGGCGTTTAAATGTACTTCAACCTCGTTTCTATGCTGAGTCTCGATTGCGCGCAGCTTGTCTCTTTCGCGCGTCCCGTTCTTTCCCGCGCCCATTACTTCCAAGCGCCTGCAAATACTAAATATCTCTAGGCATGGGTTCTAGGCAGATCATATGATATTCAACACCATTTTTCAATTGAGGCGTAAAAAAATTTCCCTGTCCTATCCCTTCCTTCCGAACTTTGCTCGTGTTTTTGTATCGGCGGATCCGGGAGCCGATTACTTAATCGTAATCGGCCCCTGGCGGATCCAAATCTTGATTTAGGGCTGGATCGGGTCGGAGATCAGAGGAGACGAATTTACTATGTAGTCAGAAGAAAAGAGGGTATATAACTAGTAGGGTATTTGGGGAAACAACAGGAAGCCCACTCTGAGATGGACGGTTGTCTTTTGGTCCTAAACAGTTAAGACCCCGTTTTTAGACTTTAGACTATCAGTCATGCATCAATGCCAAGATCAGCTTTGTCTTATCTCTCATGAACGAAAACATAAAAACAATAGGCCTACCATCTCGTATATTTTCGCGTTTTGTATTCATGAGAGAGATCTCAACTCCGGAACTCTAAGCTTACATTCATACACTGGTCCATTTATGAATACGTTCAGTTCCACTAAGAAAGATACTGAAAATGTTTCGTCTGTTCTTCTTGATGACTTTGGCCATTTTCTTGGCCGTTTCCTACGGAACTTCGCAGAAGAATTCTTCAAATCAGGTAACTTTACAGCGAACCAAATTTTAAAGCATTCAACTTTTCCCAGATTATTCCCGAGAATCTTTGTTGGCAAGGGACTTCAGATGCGGTTTTCTTAGCTTTCTAGAATCAGCAACACTGTTTTTATGCGCTTTTAGGTTCTTTTAGATTCATAATCCGTTCAATATCTTGGCTGCAAACTAGAAATTCGGCTACCAGAGATACAAATTTAATTTATCATCGATTTTACAGGATACAGCATTCAGGGCTTTAGATACAGCTCATGGACTAGGCTATCGTCAATTTTCATGACATTATTAAACTTGAAAGAAAACAAAATAGTTGCACTCCATGCACGAGAACCCAGGGGTTTGAAAAAAGGGGGGTAAGATTAAAGTGTTCCATTGGTAAGGGAAAAATAGCTAGGTTGGATCGGGAAGTCTGAACAACCAGGGGCTCGAGAAATTCGCGTGAACAACGCGCAAAATAACACCCGCGGGCACACCCGCGTGTGCGACAGCCTCGCTCTCTCGTTACCAGTCTCCTCTCAATGAGAAACGACAGCCTGCTGAATATTAGCCAACCAGGTAAAATTCTAGGGAATAGTATTTTAAAAGTTATGTTTTACAAGTTGACCCAAATCTACCTTGTTCGACTCCTAAAATAATCCTCGGGAAGCAGAGCTTCAATCAGAGAAGCTTTCAAGAAGATTGATTGTTAGAATTGGCTGTTAACCTTTACAATAAACGTGAGGTCTAAGGTGAGCTCAGGTGAGTTTTTACTCTTTGACGACTGTTTTGGGTTTTGGTCCTTTTTGAACCATGAACATTTTCCGTCATGGACCCATTCAGCTTTTCATTTAAGCTCTTACGATAAAAAAAAAATGCAAAATCAGCAGCAAATTTTGACCAATACTGACAGAGTTACATGTACGCTGAAGCTAACAAGCAATTAACATGTGGGGAATTTTGCTATTTACCTGCTACTCTTTGCCCTTTTCCTGAAAAGGTAACCAGCCAAAACGCCGCACAAAGGAAAGACAATAAAGTGGGCAACAAAACGGGCTGTAAAAAAGGACAACAAAAGGAAAAAAAAGAATGCGAGGAAAGAACATTGAAAACAGATTCCCCCACCAAAAAAAGACAAACTTTGTCTCGAAATGCTCGAAAGACAAAAATCTTATTAATTTCATCCAACTGGCAGAAAAATTTGCTTTGAGTGTTAAAAATCTCTTTTTTAGCCATTCCCATGTTAACTAGCCAAAAACTGCTCCAAAAGGGAGGATCTGGTAAAAAAAATGCTGTTTTTTTGTTGCTAAAATGGTTAACCGCCGCCTGGTTAGCTCAGCTGGGAGAGCGCCGGTCTGCTGAGCGGGAGGTCGCGGGTTCAAACCCCGGCCGGACCAACACTTAGGGTCTTTAAATAACTGAGAAGAAAGTGCTGCCTTTGTAATGACATCTGCGAATGGTTAGACTTTCTAGTCTTCTCGGATAAGGACGAAAAACCGCCATAGGTCCCGTCTCACAGCACTTTCACTGATCTGTTCTTGTGGGACGTAAAAGAACCCACACTACTGTTCGAAAAGAGTATTGGACGTAGACCCCGGTGGTGTGGCCAACCTTAAAGGGTTGTGGGATTGGGTAGGGATGGCACCTTGCATGGGACCTGTGAGTCCCGTTCGTGCCTATTCCCTCTGGGCAGGGCTGTGTCCAGAAAAGCTTGTAAAACAAAAAAAAATATTAAAGAGTTAAAAAACTGGTATTAAAGCTTAAACACCTATTGTCATTTGCTTGTAAGATTAGTACTCATGGCTAAGTATGTTAAGTGAATTTAAAATTCTGGTTTGGCCTCAAAGGGATATATATTTATTTATTTATATTCCATTTGACCTTAAAAAACACAGGAGCACCCAACCCTCTCCCTTAAAGAAGAAAAGCCTTTTGAGACCAGTAAGAGATAAAGGACTGTTTACCCAAAAATCTGCAATGTTGTCACCACAAAAACAAAAGAATACTTTGTTTCAGTGACATACCTTAAATTAAACGTCTCAGTTCAAAACTGTTTTGGCTAAATTTCCCCTCGCAACAAACAACAGTAAAAGGTGTACTGGCAGAGAAAATCCTACATTTTCCGTAAGCTGCAGAGCGTTTGGTCTGCAGCTGTGTAGGTGTAAAATTATAAATGTCGTGTAACTCAGACCCTAACCTTGATCATAATCCCAGGGGGGAATACTCCGGATTTCAAGTGACAGGGATGATCAAAGGATATTCAGCTTCACCCTTTTAATTTCCTGTTTTTTTTAACCACTTTCATTTCCTTTTTCTTATCTTTCTAAATTCAGTTTCCATTGCAACTCAGTTTATGCTATAGTCAAGAGTGTTTTCATTTATCTAGAGTTTGCAGTCTTTCTTTGAGTCATGAACGTATGTTAAATTTCCCAATCTAACAGGCTAATGGATCTGCAGCAAAGTCTAAAAGCTGTAAAGTTGTACCTCAAGCTGGTTGCTGTAAGGATGGTGAGTTTACAATTTATTTTTAAAATTGATTTTCAACAAAATGATAATCCACAGATATGGAAAAATACCAGCTAATACCAAAAGCAAAAAACAAATCTTCTTAGTATGTTTAGATTATAATTTACCAGAAATCAAGGCATTTAAGGCCAGTAAAGTACATTTAAGTATTGCATTAGTGGGATCAGTTCAGGTTATACCCGTAACAACTTGCTAGTTCTGCTGTAGCGAGATTGTGTGGATGGTAATTTAGTTCAGTAATGAGTTTCATTAAGTAATCGCTGTATTTTTTTTAAACTAATTTAAGGCAAAGATGGAAAGGATGGTCAACATGGTGAGTCACATTAAAATGCAACAATTTTCCTTCATTACCATTTACATTAAATTATGAAACATTATATGATTTAGAAATAATTAGTCTTTTGTATAATCAAGTGTTATTTTTGGTAATTGCAGGAAAAGATGGGCACGATGGAGTGAATGGTGATGTACATTATTTTATTAAATATTACTAGTAATAAAGGTTGCGGAGTGTGGGCGACAACAATTGAATGTCAAAACGCTTCCGTCTCTTTCCAGTGCTGTGCTTTGTGTGGTGGTCAAAATATATGTGATTACGAGTGATATAAGGTCCAAATGCACGTGCTCAAAGTGTGTTCGGCGCATTACGTACATTCTTTGTGGAAGTCTAAACGAATGGCTACATACATGCCAAGCATGCATAATAACAACCTGGAGATTAGAATTGCAGGCTCCGCTTGTCGCCCATGATTATCCTTTATACAAATACAAACATGTCAATATACACCTATTTCAATTAAGGTTGCTGCCGTGAACCGTGTTTCATAGCCTTCATTGCACTATGATAAACTCATGTAGCGGGAAGTTTAGTCTTGTTCACATTCATTGAAATAATGGAGACCATTTGTGAAAGGCGTTCAAGAGAGCTTTCAAGTCAAATGGCTGCTAGAATTCTTAAGCATTAGCGAGCTGAAAAATTTCATTTTTAAAATCTCATAGTAAAAAATTAGAACCCTCTTTTTTTGACAACATTAAATGAATAGGGTTTTACCGCCTGATTAAGCTGCGTTTTTTAATGGGCCAGAATGCTGGTAATTTCAATAAAGTAAATCAATGCTATTCTTTTTTTATTCAGTTTTAAAAAAATTGCCTCAAAAATAGATAAACACGTAATGTCAAGTTATTTATTGTTGTTCAGCAAATGCCATGAATTTGATCTTTTTTTAAACTCCATCCAAAATTTCCATGTGCAAGAGCCAAGTAAACTCATTAAAAATTTGCAGCATTTGCTTATTACCACAGAGAAAAACCTAACCTCAAATCACTGTCTTCAATTAAAAAGCCTAGGATTCAGTGTTTTGAAATACATTGTCTTAACGTTCTGCTGACATAGCATAAAAGCATTAGCAGCGTTTGCTTAATTTCTGGGTTTCTAGGCTCCTTGTTGCAGGCACATAATTTACTAGACTTGCTACAATAGTGCACCGCAGGCTATGAAACATGGATCATGCATCATTCTTCTCAGAAGCAACCTTAATTGAAATAGGTGTATATACTTGCCAACTCTTTCTGAGTCAAATTAATTGATGCATGAGATTTTCTTCCTGTTTTGACAGGAGTTTCTGAAAACGTCCCAGCTACTTCTGCATATTTCCAACAATTTTCCGAAGACTTTTCCAAACTTTGCCAAAAAATGTGTGAAGTTGTTCTGACAACCTTTGAGCCATTCTGAAGTTATTTCAAGTGTCAAAGGGAAATTGAATTGACTTTTTGTCATTAATCATATGTTAAAGAACAATTTTTCCAAATTTGTTTGTCAGGTGTGAGAAATTGTCCTTGTCGATGAGTGAAATCAAGGTCTAGAAATAAGTCCACAGGCATGAAACTCATGCATAATGTGTTAGAGTTGGCAGGCATACTGTAATTATTCTCAAAATAAATCTTAACCATGGGTTTCCTTCTTGTCATTCCCCCTGCTGTAGCTTGTTGTCAGTGTAATATTACTAATCCAAGGCTGTGCTCCAAGAAAAATTGTAAGGAGTCCAGTGCTCTGAACCTGTGAAAAACAGGGAGCCAAGCTTCAGATTTGTATGGGAAAGCTAAGATTTCCTAGTTGCTCAAGATCAAATTAAGTGTTTAGGGTCACTGACTGGGCACTGCTCAGTAGAGCATCAGCAGTGGAACCTCAATATAATGAATGGCCAAGGGACTGGCAATAATATAACAGGCTACAACGAGGTTTCATTTTATTGAGGTTTTTTTTTTCATTTATTTTACTATTACTGGGGTAAAGAAAATATTTTGTTCTACTGAGGACTTCGTTATATAGATCCGGTTCATTATAATTATTGAGGTTCCACTGTATCACTTTAATTTGTTTTTTGTCTTGAACACAGGAAAAGATGGCCATGATGGACGTGGAGTAAAGGTTGGCCTTTTTAAGCTTCAAACATTGCTTTCTTTTTTTGCTCGAAAAGTTCAGAAATTCAAATTAAATGGCCCATGGAGCTGGATGTCTCCAATAAAATGATCTCTGTTGTGTGAATGTATCAAGTTGCCAAAAAAGAGGTTTTTTGGACATTTGGGCTTTTCTCTTTCCAGAGAAAGAAGAAGAAGATCTAAAATTATTTTTAAAAAATTAATAATTTGGTTAAATGTTCTTGTGTAAGAACCAACTTTTAGGGTCACTGTAACCAGATAGTTTACAAAAATAAAACATGACTAAAAAATAATACAAATTATGGACTTATTATAGAATGGAACACAACTCTAAAATAGTGAGCCACCTTTTTAAAGTTCTGTCACTTTGTATTGGACAAATAAATATTGCTACATAAAACTGTTTGATTTGCTTTTTCCCTCACTGATTCACTTGTAAAACTTCCTGTTGGCACAATTAAGAGAAAAAGCACCTGCTCATGTTTTTAAAACGGAACCCACAAGTGTGAATAAATTGTATTGCGTACACTGTACCTCAGTTAATTATTTTTTTTTCGTATATTATTACATTGATGATTATCGAAAATTGAGCACTATGATTGGCTAGGAGCTTCGCTTCATCCCTTCTATAATCACCGCGCGGTGATTATAACATTGAAGGCTAGCAGTTTTCAAAATGGCAGCCTGATTTGTTGATGTTTCGGAGTCGGAAATTGATCAATAATTTTATTTTCTGGAATAATCATCAATATAATTCTACTATAACTAATCACCTGAGGCAACGTGAATATCGGCGAATAGTCACCTTGACTTCATCTTCGTGACTATTCGCCGATATTCATGTTGCCTTCGGCAAGTAATTGTTAAATAATAAAATGTAATTCCACACTTTCATTTGTTATGAAATGATACCTATCTTGTTCACAGTTAATGTTGGCAATATGCTGGCTCCTAATATGGGAAGTTATGGGTGGTTCAAAGGCAATTGGTTAAGATTCCTGTAGTGTAACCTTCCTTTGATACCCTATTCTATGGTTATACCTCTAGTGTTAACGCAATGACTAAGCAGCTGTGTATATAGATAAACTCAGACCAAATGTTAACGCAATGACTGAGCAAGTGTATATATAGATAAACTTAGACCAAAATGTTAAATTTAAATGGTTGGCCTGAAGCTGTTTTGATTACTTTAATTTAACAAAAAAAAGTGACAAAGGTGCACTATGTGTTGATTCTTGATTTTTTTGTTATGATAAGTAAATAAATTCATTTTAGTGGTAGTACTTGTGTGTCCATGAAGCTAATATAAAAAAATAA